GGCAATTAGGATTGCTGTGCTTGGGAGCTCACACAATGAGTCTCTACTAAAACAAAAGTGTTCAACTGTAGCTATACATTCCGGCCAAACAGAAATTGTTCAAAATGCCTGCTTTTTCTTTCCTCTCTTTACTGTTGACATCTTAGCAAAACAGGATAAATGCCACCTAAACTTTTTAGATAGTCAGGGGGCAAAACTACTGTAATTCAAGTGAATAACCTAACTGACATTTGATAAATGGGGAAAAACATACTGGGGAAATAGAATAAAACTACAACTATAAAATCATATATTGGACTAGTCAAACTATTATTTTAGTTTGACTAAATAAATGCATTAGATTGAACCACACAAAGCTATCACAGCTAATTTTTAAAATAAAGAAATGATTATTTATGTTTTTAAATCTGACACCAATTAGATTTTATTCAGAGATTAGTATGTTTTGAAAAATGACTAGTTTAGTTGAAATATTATATCACTTATCTATTTAAATTGGTGAAAACCCATTTCTCTATTAAGTTTATACTAGAAATAAAAATATACGTGAAAGAGAAGGGTGATAAATCCCACACAGTGGGTGGGAGGATACCACTAGTGAGCTCCTTTTCCAGGAGCATGAGTGAGAAAGGCACCTGGAATCTCCAGAAGAGGTTGCGTTCATCAGAGGAGTAGGGGAGCCTATCATGCTGTGATGCTATTAGAAACAGAAATCTTAGGGTCTAAGCTGGGGTCATCCTTGTAGATTCCTGGAAATTTCCCTAGTGTCAGGTTTATTGCTAACCCCATAATGCCTCCCTCAATCAAGACATCTCTTTTTAGGCTCTCATCTCTGTCTTCCTCCATCTTGACTATCCCATTCCGTCAAGTTCTCCTTGCCCTCTCCTTCTCCCCTTCCACCCTCTTTTTTCCACCATCCCCATGTTTCCAATTTTGTCAGGTGATCTTTTCTATTCTGACTTTTCAGATGTATTTATATATGTTTTTCTTAGGGTTCACCTTGCTAGTTAGCTTCTCTAGGATCATGAACCATAGGCTCAATATCCTTTGTTTATAGCTAGTACCACTTATGAGTGACTACATAGAGGAGAGGATGCCCAAAATGACCTTGTCCTATAGTCAGACTGATGAATATCTAAAATATCATCGTATAACCTTTCATCCCGCAACTGATGGAAACACAGGCAGAGACCCACATCGGAGCACTGGACTGACCTCCCAAAGTTCAGTTGGAGTGGGAAGAGTGAGAATATGAGCAAAGAGGTCACAGCCATGATAGATACACCCACTGAAACAGTCTACCTGAATGTGGTTGACAGTGGCACGGGTGGGGCAGACTGAGGGGCCACTGGCAGTGGCACCAGGATTTATCCCTACGGCTTGTATGGGCTTTTTGAGATCCTATTTTCTTTTCATGGATACCTTGCTCAGCCTAGATATAGTAAGGAGGACCTTGGACTTTTTCCAAAGCAATGTGCCTTATCCTCTCTGAGGAGAAGATGGAGGTAGGGTGGGGAAGAAGGTAGAGGGAATGGGAGGAGAGGAAGGAGTGGGAACTTGGATTGATTTGTATAATGAAAAAAAAGATAGTTGGTTTTTTTTTAAAAAGAAAAGAAACAAATCTTAAGAAAGCAATTCAGCAGGAGCCATGCAGGTTAATGGTGCTTAATGTCTGGAAAGAAGTGATGACAGTGAAGACAAAAGCTAAAATATTGATTATTTACAGCAAGATTTATGGAGACCCCAAAGACAGTGGCAATATGGGAAGTAAGATAAAATCTCAATTGAAGCCCATATACAAGTTATGTTTTCTTCTCATGTGCTCTTTCTGAGGACATATTATAATCAAAATAAGATACATAAATGGGAGCAGACATGTAAGTGGGATAATATAATCCAATAATTAACCTTATTTTGAAGGCTGGCCCTTGGAAGGAAATTGTGCTCTCTATAAAGAATGCCTAATGAAAATCAATCCTACCTGTATATAAAGTATTTGTTTGCCTATCTGGGGTAGTAAAACTATTATTTTAGATGCATTAGATAGAACCATACAAAGTGTCACATTCGGATAAATTTTAAATTAAAGAAATAATTTTTCTGTGGGTTCAGGCAGGGGTCTTTCGTAGCAGTGATGTACTGTAAGTTCCTGATAACTATGAGCAATGCCAACCTTAGGTAACAAACCATCCTGTTACATGTCTCTATGTTCACTGTGATCTAATTCACTCCTGGAGGTTGGAAATAATATTATAGATCACATCATGCACACAGTCAATGTAGATCATCCTTTTCCAATATTCAAGTTGCAGCAAGGACTCTGCAAAATCATTTGAAAATATAAGCATATTATATGAATTATTATACAGGTTTACATTCTATAATCTGAGTTTAATATTGGGGTGAAGAAATCTAGAGGACTATAAAGGGGGCAGTGGAAACCAAATGCATTTTGATATAGGGAATTTTTCATATAGTTTTTCAAGTCAGGGTTTCTATATGTGACCATGGTGGCCCTAGAACTTGATTTGTAGAAGAGGCTGACCTTGAACTCAGAGACCATCCATGTACCTCTGCCTCTCACAGGCTGGGATTAAAGGTGTAAGCTAGCTTTCTAGAAAAATAAGAATTTTTAAAAGAAAGTAAGTCTTATAATTTGGGATTTGCTTTTAAGAGATATAAAAAGAAAAGAGAAATGGGTTTGATCTAAAAACTATGAGACAAAATATTAATCATTATATTAGTAAGGAATTTTTTTCATAATTTAGAGTAATTTTGCTTTTAAGATTCTAATGTAATTAAATTTCTTTCACTTTCCAAACCCACCCATATACACTTACTGCTCATCTTCAAATTTTTGGATTATTTTTCACTAATTGTTATTGAATATAACCTGTTAAGTTTGTATAATGTTACTTCTATGTATGTTTTCAGGGGGTTGACCTTTTGGCACTAGACAATGCTGACAAAGGAAAATAATTTATTAAAAATAATTTTTATAATCTCAGTTTCTAAATTTTCAAGGAGTAGATTTAACATCTATGGAAAGAAGAGTTATAAATAGAAACTGAATAAAATGATGTAAAAGTCTTCTGTAAAAAGATTTTTGAATGGGCTCAGGTTTTTCTTTGTCAGTGTCAATCAAGCAGCTGTGTGTGTGCGAGCTGAAGCTTTTGTGTGAGAAGATCCCATAGATGGGCTCAGAGGAGCCAATACTCGATTAGGCAGTCATGAGGCAGGAGTAGCATCAAGGAACTTTCTGATGTCCTCATAAAAGTGAATGCAGAGTCTACTGAGCTACTGCAAGGAAACAGGGTGGAAGGTCTTTATGGTAACAGCATATGATAATGAATCTTTATGGTAATTAATTATCTTTATGATAATCAGCATTGTTCAGAACTTGATGCCAGAAGAATTCCACCAGATCATAGAAAGAGATTTGGGGAAAAAAGAAAATAGGTACATTCAGTTCCAAGAAACCAATGAAGAAGAGGGGGCTGTTGGAGACAGTGGTCAAAACTGTCCTTTTCACAAAGCCACAAGAAGAATGGAGAGAACGGCAGCCCAGACAAGGCACTGACTAAGTGAACCGCTTAGGGAAGAGTCAGTGAGTGATGAGCTGAATCACAGTGAGTGAGGAATTATGGGCGATTGTTATGTATCACACAATTAAAGATTTATTAAATCACCTCTCAGCCTTCACTTTCTGGAATAATTTATCACTGCAAATTATTAAAATCAGATCATTAGTTTGAATAATGAAAATCTCAGGAGAAAAAAAGTTCTCTAAGGTTCATTTTTTAAAATTAGATCAAAGTGTTTCCTAGCCTTGTCACATGAGCTCATGTGAGTATAATATTAAAAGGCACTTTTATTTTCAACTCTAAAAATTAACTTAAATTCACATCAAGTAGCCCAAACGGTATTGTTAAACATTTGTATAAATGATTCATTATCAGAAAAAGTCATATGTGTTCCTATAGTCTTTAAGTAGTAGATAAGTGAGCTATAGGTACAAGTTCTACTGCTACAGCGGAGATGTAACTGAAGGTGCTCACATTGACCACATGTCTGACTGGCAAGGGTGTGTGTCATAAACAAACAAAAAAACCAAGAAAGAACAAAAGGCATTCTGAAATATATTTCATTTCATTTCCCCCACAATCCACAATGTTGTGCACATGTTTATTGGGGTACTCTCATTCAAGTAGAATTAGGACCTGTTACGCTTCGCTTCTTTGTTGCCAAAGGTGTTCTAACTCCTTTCCTGACTTATGGGTTTAGAACCCTAGATAGGACAGTTGAGGGTCAGGGCACTGGCAGTTGGAAACATGACAGAGGTCAAGCCAAGAGGACCTCAAAGAAAGGTAATGTACATGTCTTTAATGTACGTGTGACGAAAGTTAAGGTGGCTTGGGAGTGGAGCTGGGACATGAAATTTGGTCAAAGCAGAAGTCTGCTTTTATTTAAACCTCGGTAAAACAGCAAAATAGAAGAGATTTATTGATAAAAGGATAAACCAAATAGCTTACTTTTTCTCTTAAAAGTTTACTGTTATGATTAAAGCAACATTGTTGACTTTTAGCATTGATAGTAAATGTTAAATAAACTAATAATAGCCTAGAGTACCCCTGATTTATTTTTATTTTACCGGCCAGTTAAATGTATTTTAAATGTTAGATAAAGTACTTGCTATAGAAACACCATTTTAAAAGCCTCACGTATAGTTTGTAATCATCATGGCACAGCGAGGTCTATTACTAAACATAAGAGTTATTCCACTGTGAACTCAGAAACCATCTCTGGGCTTTCAGTCATGTTGTTACATTCTCTTCCTTTTCAAAGACATTGTCTGTAGCATTGAGTAGGGATATTGTTATTCGTTAACACCTGACACATTTTGTGTTGCTTTGTTGTTGCCTTTTTGTCAGAAGAAATAAAAATAAGAGTTCATCACCAGTGAGACTTGTAATCACCTAGAAGAAAAAATAAGATTCATCATGTCTTTCATGGTCCATAGTCGGAAGGGCAGCAAAAAGCATTTTCAAGTGGACCCTCTACTGATGCCCAAAGTTCCTCGAATCAATTACATGCACCTTCAGGAAGAGAAACACAGGCTACAGCTAAAGAAATTCCTCCTTCACAGGATGTTTCTTGTGGGCCACCTACAAGCCAATGTGGAGAAAAAGCAGATTACTGAATACTTCGAGCACCTCTTCCAGTCAATTCTGAAGCATCACTTAGGAGAGACAGTTACGGGCTTATTGCTCATATACTCAAGCACTTTTCTGCATATCCTTGAGACCTCCAATGGCACGCTTTTCCGAATCCTTTTAGATTATGTTGCCCATGAGAAAGAAGACAAAGAATTTATCATCCATAACGTCAAAATTATAGTTGCTTCTCATAACATCCCCACAAGGTTGTTCATGCAATGGCATGTTTCTGTCATCAAGGTCCCAGTTCTGTATCTAGATGATGTGACACAGTCACAGTCTCTATCGGAAGTCATCACAGATTTTCTCACCATGACTCACAAACTGGCATTTCACCTTTTTAAGACCGTGAAAGTTGGTACGAAAGGGCCAGGTGACAACTTGCACCAACTTGCCCCTGAGCTACTCCTCCCAGAACAAACTATCCAATACTTGTGCAAAGCTGATGAATTCTTGGACCCAGCAACATTCTTAAGCATGTATAACAGACCCATACATGTTACCCTGGATTCTGAGATTGTGTGGCCAGCTCCTTCCCGTTTATAGGATGGGGAGGGATTATGTGTGCATATCTCATAAAGATTTTGTACTACTTTAGAAACAAAGAATTTCTAAAGTTACTCTTAAAAAAAAAGAACAGAACATTGAAATAAGCGCATGGAATGTGAAACAGCTTATCTAAAGCTAAACATAAGAATACATCTGCTTATTCTGATCTAAAGCTTAATAAATTTTTTCAGGTAATTGGGTTTATTAAATTTTAAATTCCGTAATTTTCATGGGATAACTCTTATTTTTTCTTTTAAGGAAAGTATAGTTGAAAGGGATTTAACACCATTTGGGCATTTAGTTTCTCAAGCATTCTCTCAACATTTAACAAGGAGTCTTTATGATATGGTAGAATAAATATGTTTAGGGTTAGATTATTTCTAACAGTTTAACCCTTAAGAAACTTGCAAGGTAAAGTTACAAGCAACCATAATATATATGTGAAATAATGTATTATAATATGTAATATACTGCAAATGGTATAGTAGGAAGTGGTAGAATAAACTTGGAGAATATAAGGGAATAAACCATTAATTAACAATTTGTGAATCAGAGAAAATAAAACCTAACCTCTGAAAATAATCCTAAACACCCATATTCTGACCTATACAATCAGTAATATTGAAACTATCATAAAGATGAAAGACACAAGAGTTTTTGAAACAACTAGAAAACACCATCAAATTTCAATACAATTTTTTTATGCAACATTGATTCATTGAGCACTCTTCTGTATGACAGGCATATTTCAGTCTCTAGTGATGCAACAGTGTTCACACAAGGCATTGTTCTTGCCCAGTTGAAAACCTTAATATTATATGTAAGTAATATTATAGGACACAAGTAATCAGTGTTGTTGTGTCAGATGGCATCTCATTGACGAGGTAAATAGTTTGGAAAAAGTGGTATTTTCTAAAGTAAGAAAGTGACCAAAAGTGTAGTGTATGGTTAAAAATTAAAATTAAACATCAAATTAAGTTTAAACACTTAAGTTAAACATCATATTGTGCCTTGTAATATTACACAAAAAAAATGTATAATACATCCAATCCAACATGCTCCTCTTCCAGTGTGACCTTCGGATTCCTCCTATTTTATATGACAGGATTTACATTTAAAATCTGGCATCCTTCATACCTGCTTTTGCCAACAGAGTATGGTAGACATGAAGCTGTGCAACCTCCAAGGCTAATTCACAATTCCTAGTGCCTTGCTTTGTTGACTTGAACCTGAGCTCTTATAATACAGGCACTATGCAATATGAATACTTACAGCTGTTTCCAGACAACATTCACAGCAAGGGCCCAGGTGACAGCCAAGTACTAGATGCTAAGTAAGACTTGGTGGCTCCAGATTCTCTGCTTCCAGGATTACAAGAAATATCATTTGACACTGTATGGAATAGATATGGACTCTTCCTAGGAATCCTGCTCAAATTCTAGACCTGAGATGAATGTGTAGTTGTCTAGATCTATAATATATGTGCATGTAAATGATTTTATCAGTTGCTATTCATTCTTTTGTGTACATTACTAAATGTCTCCAAGTAAACACTTACTACGAAACCAGTCATTGTCGTTGGTTGGATACCCCAAGAGTGGTAAAATGTGTCTCCATATTGCCTATTCTATGTCATTTTTCAGCCTATATCATTTCCTGACATAAGAATTACTGGTAGAAAACTAATTTATTAGACTAATGAAAACCATTAGCACTCACAATGTATTTCTAGAAAAAGATATAGACATATCGAAATGATAATACTGAGCATTTACTTAGCACACTGTAAATTTTAAATATTCATGAAATCAGAATATATTGTATGAAAATAGAATCTATCATCAATATAAGAAAAAACACAAATAGATAACTCAATTATGCATTCATTATAGTAAGTAGACTACAATGAATTTATTCAAATCAAATTCACTCATCATAGTAGCCACTTTAGGAAGAATTATTGTTATCCGAACAACACTGTCATTACTAAAACATTTTGTAATTCTTTATGTCAGATGAATAAAGAAAGTTTACAGCCAAAGTAAATATAAATATTGCAGGTATAACTAATTTTAGACAAGAATTATGGATTAATTTAAGTTGTAACAGCTAGTTAGTAATAAGCCTGAACTACGAGGCCAAACAGTTTATAATTAATATAAGCCTATGCATGTTTCTTTGGGACTGAACAGCTGCAGGGCCTTGTGGGAAAGAAAGTTCCATCTACAAACAGGCTTCTAAGGGATCACAACAAAACATTACAAAATAAATCAATACCATCACAGTGAAATTAGACAGGACAGACTAACAGAAGGAAAAGAGCCCCATTAGAAGGAACAAGAATCAGAGATCCATTTGTTCAGACTCTTAGGAGTCCTATTAAAACACTAAACTAAAAGCTTATATGTTCACAGAGGACCTGGTTCCCACTTGTGTTGGCCCTATGCTTTCTGCTTCGGTCTTTGTTAGTTCATATGAACTTTGCTCATTTGATTTAGTGGGCATTGTTCTCCTGGTATCCTCCATCCTCTCTGACTTTTACACGCTTTCTGCCTCCTCTTCCATGGGGTTCCCTGAACTCTGAGAGGAGGAATTTGATGGAGAATCCCATTTAGAGATGTGTGTTATAAGGTAATGCCTGGATGTGGGTCTCTGTATTTGTTCCCATCTGCTGCAAGAGGAAGCTTCTTGATGATGACTGAATAAGGTGCTGATCTGTGAGTATAGCAGAATATTATTAATAATATCATTTTATCGCTACTTTTTTAAAAAAAATACTAGTATGGACTGTCTAGTCTCTTGTTCGTGGTCAGCCAAGAAGTGTCAGGTATGGATCCCATCTTGTAAAGAGTTCCTTAATTCAAATCAGACATCGGTTGGCTACCCATATTGCCTTAGCGTATTTTGCAGGCAGAACACAATTACATATCATTAATTTTGTGGTTGGGTTGGTGTTTATGTTTTGTTTTGGTAGGCTTTAGAATATCTTCTCATATGTAAGACACTACAACGTAGGGGTGAAGGTTCTATGTAGGTACCAGTTTGACTTCTTCGTGGTCAATAAGTTGTGTGGGTCTTATCTTCAGCAAGGAGTCCTTGCATTCAGTTTAAGAAAAGCAGCCTATAATATTAGCAACATCATGAGTTATTTGGGGATTTCCATGGGACCACTTTGGCAAACAATTCAAATTCATGTAATTCAGTCCAGGTACTAGAAGTTTCATTTTATGACAAGAGATGGCCAGTTGGGAATCTGTCCCCCTAATTATTTGGAGATCATTAGGATCACCTTTTTATACTTCTCAAAGTTTCTGCTGCCCTAAGTTTCCATGTCTGTCCTGGAATTACTTATTCCTGTGACTTCTTGCAGGTGTTTAGGCTTCTCTTCAGACTTAAATATTCTAGTATCTTCTGGAGAGATGAATTAGTAGTCATAAATACCCTTAACCTGTTTTTTTATGCAAAGATTTTATTTCTCCTTCATTTATAGCATATCATCTATAGAGTACACTATTCTGGGTTGATAATTTTTGTCTTAGTTCTTTATTTCTTTGTTTCTGCACTGGGACTTGAACATCTGAAGTCCTTTATAGTCATGTCTTTCTTTCTTTTACTTAAATTCCTTTTTCTTTCTGGTGCAGGTGTGAACAATGTTCAAAAGAGTATTAATCTGAAAAAGGGTTGAGACATTGTTTTCTTTTCTTGGCTTTGTACTGAGTGCTAGAACTTCTACTGCATGACTGAAAAGACACTGTTTAAGGATCAGCATGAACCTTGCTAGCCCCCTCCTCTGCTTTGTTTTTGGTGTGACTCTCCAGGTACAGCTGTACTACTTCAAGTAAGCTTTGGTTGACCAGCAGCGGTGTGCAGATGTTGTTCAACTGAATGGGCACTTTCATTTATCAATTCAAGAAGGGCAGAACATACCTTTAAGAACTAAAAAATGAGATTTTGGGGAAATAGGAGGCTTATAGGATGGGTAGGAGTTGTGGGAGCGGTATATGGTAGGTTCTAGAAGAGCCAGGCATTTTGGCCACACATGGTAGTGTAATCTCACAGGAGTTGTGATGCTTACATGATGTGGCAGAAAAAAAAAATGCTTACTTAGTGTCTCAGAAGAAGGTGAATATGGGGGAAGTAGAATACCTACATGTTACAAAGGATCAGAGCCTAGCTGATATGTCAGGAAGAAAGATCCCGGAAGAGCCTAGCCTAGTGAACTGTGGTGGCCCGAGGACAATGGATGTCTTGGAAGATCTTGACAGATTTACTGGCTAAGGAAGGAGGAACATAGTTGGTTGCGAGTGTAAGAGGAAATCTGTGAGGAGGTAAGCAAGGCTATAGGAGACAAAGAGGCAGGTTTACCTAGTGGCATGAGGATCGGTGCTCTCTCAAATTCCAAACAGATTTCAATAAGTTTAGCAATATACACACATTTCAAATAAGGTAAACTTACCTCAAGCTTCCTAGAGAAGGGAAAATATGACAGCCTATTGCCAAGCTCACAAAGCAAAATGTTTCCAGATTATTACACAGTGCATAATTGACTTAATGTGGAATTAGAGTTCTCCCTCTTGTGGTCAATTATTTAAGTTTCCAGATAGCTGGAAGGTATTCAGAAATACTTACATAATAAATATAATACATATAGTTTAAGAAAATAGAGATAAAAGCCCAAAGTACCTTTCAAATTCTTTACTACTTTGTTCTGGAAATAAAGACTCAGAAATTTAAAGACACTAAATAGTTTCTCTCAAAGCATGAATAAGCACTGATAATCAATAGTCCCATTTCATTTCAATATATTAATCATACAAATCTTTATTATTTTACAAATCTTTAAGAAAAATATTTGTCATCTCATTTTCTTGTTTTAGAATTGCTGTACTGTGATTTAATATCAAAAAATTTTATTTTAACTTCATTATTAGCTTGTAACATTAAAAATAATCCTATTATTCTTCTTTATTTTTAATTTATTGAATATGATTTCAATA